GAAAAAAAAATCCAGTAAGAAATAAACTCCCCAGGGATCATGTATTGAGAAAGAATGTATAAACCCAGCCAGCAGAGTGAGCGAGGAGAGGCTCTCCCTTCTGATAATCTAGGGAGAAGGAATTGCCTGACTTAGAAATATGACATTTTTCTAGGCCACCTCATTTCATCTAATAAAAAAATGACCACTTTCCAATATGTTCATATTAAAGAAAATGAATGAAAACATAGCTAGGAGGTAACCTAGAATGGTAAATCAGTGTGAGTAAAAATCTACACATGCATAACCGGTCAGTGGATACTCTGTTTTATTTCTAGCATATGGAGGATTCATTCACTCATCCATCCATTCATCCATCCATCCATCCATTCAACAGATGCCGATTGAACACCTACCATGTGCAAAGCCCTGTGGAGACACGTTAGGTACAGACCATACCTCCTGCTCTCCAGAGACGGCTTTTACAGTCTCATAAAGGAGATAAGACGAGATGTGAACACAAAGAACTATGATCAAGGTAATAAATGAGTAAGTACCACAGGAGAGAAAAATAAGGTGAGATGAAAGTTCAGAAAAGGGAGACATCACTTCTGGCCAAAGGAAATAGAGAGTAGAATGATTTCTTAAAAGTATAATCTATCACCCTCCAACTCCTGGTTTAAAAGCCTCACACAGTTATTAGCTATATGACCTTGGGCAAATCATAAATTTTCTGTGTCTTGGTTTGCTTATCTTTTAAAAGGAAGGGTTGGACTAAATGATCTTGAAGGTCCTTTCCGCTCGAAAGTACGAGGATACATAATTTTTCATGAGAAGGCCTAGCTAAAGATGTGACAATCTATTCTTTATACAACCAGAGTAACTCTTTAAACCTAAATAAGCTCATGTTACCCATGGCTTAAAACCCCTTCATGGCTGCATTTCAAAGAAAACCCAGACTCCTTTTGATGGCACACAAGGTCCCGCAGCAGCTGGCCCTGCTCTCGCTCTAACCCCACCTCCCAGACCTCCTCCTCTCCATCACAGGGACCTCTCCTCTCTGGTCCCTAAAGCACCAATCGGGACCTTCACACATGCCGTTCCCTCTGCCAGGAATGCCTTTCCTCTGCTCTTAAAAAAAAAATGTCTTTGTGCGTGTGTGTATCATTTTAATGAAAGGAATAACAGAACCCAATTTAAAACTGTCAGAAGATGCCACAGGGTCATAACCCAGACCCAGAGAGTTAGGAGGCTGGGAGGAGTAGGAATCATGCTCCAATACGTAGGTTTGTGCTTAAACCCTTGTTTCCATGTATCTCTCCCCTGCTAACCCTGGGCCTGACAAATTGGGTGAAGCCACTCAGACTTTCCATGGGAAAAAAATCGTCTGGAATCCTGGCAGAATGAGGGAGAGACAGTTGCCTGGACAGGCGAAATGGAGGAGAGAATCTGGGGGTCTAAGTGTGCTTTACACTGACTCTCAGACCATTCTGATTCCCTCCTGTACTCCCACCCCTTTTAGGCCACATGTTAGGTGCCTTCAATTCCTGACCCTTTTCTGGGGAGTCAGTGCTGTGACCTGGCTTCTTTAACAATGACATCCCCTCTGCAAGCACGTGGTATTTTGTATTCTTAGTTTTGCAAACACCTCCTTCCACTTTTTATCTTCCAAAAATGGGTTCACTCTTTGCAACTATAATGATCTCCCTCTTCGCTCATTCTCGTGGTCCTTCTGAGTTTCTTTCTGGTTGATTCTTCTAATACTCAATTTGGGCAGGGTTTATGGAAGGGGTAAGAATGAAAGAATGTGTTATGCCTTCCATGCTCAACTGGAGTGCCTCTTCCCTTACCTCATTTTCAGCCTTTGAATCACTTAGATACAGCTTCAGAGTTAGAGGTGGACTTTCCCAACTGCACGTCCAAGTAGACCCTCTCGGGTTTGTCTTTTAGAGCACCGTGTTTGCTTCTTTCCTAACATGCAATACAACTTAAAGCTCTATCCTTATTTATTGACTTAACTAATTTTATTTTTTAATTAAAAAAAACTTTATCGTGGTATAATTTCTGTACAGTAAACTACACATATTTCAGATGTACAATTTGATTAATTTTGATAGATGTGTACACCTATGAAACTACCACCATAGTCCAGATAGCTAACATTTCCATCACTCCCCAAGAGGTACAAATTTCGAACTCCCAATTTATTGCTTCCCACCCCCTTTACCCCGTGGTAGCCATAAGTTTGTTCTCCATGTCTATGAGTCTGTTTCTGTTTTGTAGATAAGTGTTAAGCTCATTTGTGTCCTTTTTTTTTTAAGATTCCACATATAATCTACGAAACATTATAGGGGTCCCAGAAAGAGAAGAAAGGACTTGAGAAAATATTTGAAGAGGTAATAGCAGAAAACTTTCCTAACTTGGGAAAGGAAACAGTCACCCAAGCCCAGAAAGTGCAGAGAGTTCCCCATAGGATTAACCCAAAGAGGCACATAGTGACCAAATTGACAAAAATTAAAGATAATGAGAAAATAGTAAAATCAGCAAGAGTAAAGCAACAAGTAACACACAAGGGAACTCACATAAAGTTACTGACTTGCTAATTTTAAATACATATGTTTATTACTTTAATGTCTGTTGCTTCCACGAGAGCACAAACTCAGGGAAGGCAAGACCCATGTCTGTTTTCTTCAACCAGTTTATAAAGAGCTCTCAGCACAGTACCTCCCCATAGCAGATGCTTATCGATGAATGTTGACCAGCATGAGGATCAAAGCTCAGACTCTGCTGACAGCCACCCCAACCCAAGGACAGGCTAGAAGGAAAAAAGACAAAGATGTAGCACATCGCTTAAGAGGATGAACTCTGGAGCCAATTTTTCTGTGTTCAAATCCTAGAATGACCACTCACTTAACTGTGCAGATAAATTACATTAAAAGGAGATAACAATAGCACACTTACATCATGAGACTACTGTAAAGATTACAGTGAGTCAGCCTAGCTAGAACGCTTAGAACAATGGCCAGCACGTAGTGAGGGCTTTATTAGTGTTGACTGTTGTGCCTCAGAGTCCTTGGCCTGGGAGGGCCTTGGCTGGGTGAAGATTGGACTCTGAAGTTTCACTTTGAAAATGTAAGTCTAAACTTCCATAGAATACAGACAAGTTGACCTCATGTGTCCAGAATGTTTAGAATCCAATTTTGAATTCTGAGTTCCACTTCTTAGGTTTTCATTGTGTTCCCACTTACATCAAGTAATTTCTAAAGCAGCTCCCCATGGGGTAGTCCCAAATGGAAGTCTCCTCCTTGGGAACAAAGTATGGTGGGGAGGATGGGGTGATGGATTAAAGGAAGGTGGTAACTTGACAGGCTTAAAAGAAGAGAAGGCCTGGGAAAGTGTGGTGTGAGGGTGAAGAAAGGGGTTTGGGGCACCGGATAGCCTTTGTCTGAAATGCCAGCTCTGCCCTTACTTCTTGTATGACCTTGAACAATTTGCTAGACCTCTGGGTGCCTCCGTTTCCTTGGTATTGCAAATATGAGGTGATGTCCATATAAAACTTAGGCGAGTGCTTGGTAGAGAGGAAAATACTCAGGTATTTAAATTATTATCACTATGGTTAGAATTATTCAGGAGACCTGGGTTCTAATCCCGTCTCTGAATCTGACTGGCATTGTGTCCCTTCGGGGATTCATCTTCCTTTTCCATGTCCAAGAGGCTCATCTGTGAAACCAAGCCACTAAATTTCTTTGCAGCTTGTGAGTCGGAATCCTGCCAGTGGTTACATCTGGAGACCCCCCACACCCACCCCTTACCCATACACGCACACACAAATTCCTGGGATCCTGGGCCTTTACCGACTTTTGCCAGGACAGCATTTCTACATTTCGGCCTGCAGCTGTACAAAATTAACCTGCACCACAGTGTGAAAAGTCTGAGGAAGCCAGCCCCCAAGATGGCCCTCCTGAGCCCCACCTCCTCCTGTTCACACCCTGTGTCGTCCGCTCCCTCCCATAGAGCTGAGCAGTGTGACCAGTTGGATGTTTCAGAAATGTCAGAGTGTCACTCTGAGACTCGGTCATGAAAGACATGGAGACGTTCCCCTTACCTCTTGGCTCCCTCACTCTGGAGGAAGGCAGCTGCCACGTCAGGGGACACGCGAGAGGCCCTGCGGAGAGGTCCATGAGGTGCAGAACCGAGGCCTCTTGTCAACGACCAGCACTAACATGCCAGACACGAGAATGACATGAGCCGCTGGCCTCAGTGAGACCTTCAAGGGGCTAGTCCCAGCTGCCGTCGTGACTGCAACCTCCTGGCAGACCCCGAGCCAGAGCCACCCAGCTAAGAGCCCCCAAGTACCTAACCCTCAGAAACTCTGTGTGATCATGCATGTCTGTCGCTGTTTCAGGCGCACTTTGGAGTAATTTCTTATGCAGCAACAGATAACCAGTACGGGGTCCCTGGGAACAGGGTATGTACAGTTGTGCCAGCTTACAAGTGCAGACGCCCCCGCCAATCTGCGCGCGGGCTGAGACCCCATGAGCCTTCCTGAAAACGCATTCTTTCCCCTTCCCCTTGAGGTGGTAGGCCTGTTTCCCAGAACTAAATAAACACTTTGGATTACAGTTCCTTTTTTCTAAGTTTTGGTTTTGGTTTTTTTACACCGAGCCTGGGCCCTATTATCAATGGGTTTAATTTGATTGCTCTGAGTGGGGTTCAGAATTTGACAATTGAAAAAATTTTGTTTATTGAAGTATAGTTGATTTACAATGTTTCAGGTATTTCAGGTGAATAGCAGAGTGCTTCAGTTGTACACACATATATATATCCATATATATAGATACATACATATATTATTTTTCAGATTCTCTCCCATTACAGGTTACTACAAGATATTGAATATAGTTCCCTGCGCTATACAGTAGGTCCTTGTTATCTATTTTATATATGGTAGTGTGTATCTGTATCTGTTAAGCCCAAATTCCTAATTTATCTCTTCCTCCCCTTCCCCCTTTGGTAACCATAAGTTTGTTTTCTATTATTTACAAAACAGAAATAGACTCATAGACATAAGTTTTCTGTTCTTTGTTTGTTTTGCATATGGAGGCATTATTCAGAGGTTTCTTGAATACCCAGGCCCACTCCAGGGTCTGACAAATTCAAAGTCCTTCACTTACATGGTTACCTTCCAGGGCCTTGAGAGGGGCCCGTACACCATGTTCAAACGGTCGTGCGGATAATGAAATTCATGAAAGAGCAGCAGTTCGCCTTCCCCTGGAGTCCATGGCGTTAGAGTGGCCGTGGGCATCGCTGGCAGTCAGCTAAGGGAACGTTGAGTTTAATTTGGATTTAGTGGGGTATGTTTTTGTGGTTCACAGGCACTTCCTCATGGAGTTAAGCAATTTCTGGCTTTCTCGGTGCTGAAATGGCTTCCAGCAATGTTCCTGGAAATACTGGGGTGCTAGCACAAAGGGGCGTGACCGGAGATCCTATCGTGATAAGAATATGCCCGACAACACGCCCTCCAGGCACTGGAAGCCTGTGAATTGTGGAGGAGAAACAAGGTCGGAAACGTACAGACGAAAGACTGAATTATTTTTCTGTTCTCTCTATAGAGAATTATGTTACAAAGTCGTTTTCATTTGAAGAAATGAATGACCAAAAAAATACAGCCAAAAAAGAAAAATTATTAAAACAAATACAGAAATGCGTCAAGGAGGACCACTATTTTATTTTTCTGGATTTTGCAAAGTCTGAGGTATTTGCCACCTTCTAAAAATGTGTAATGCCTGGCGATTCCACTTTCTAAATAAGTACTCCCTTTCAAACCTGAGTTTCTATTTACAATTTCATATTCTTCTTCTTCTTTAAAGAGAGTCAGTCCCCAGAATTGAATTTTGCTTTGGGCTCCACAAAACCTGGCCCTCCTCCTGGTCCTCCCCACCAGGCTCCAGATTCTCGCAGGAAGAGCTCCTTCCTTCCTGCAGCCCTGCCTCCCGCTGTGGCTTTGATCTGAGCTGTTATCCGTTTCCAGTTGCTCATTCTCGATTGTTCTCACGAGGACCCTGTGGCTCCTCTTTCTCTTGGTTCAGGACCCTTCGTTTTCTGAGTACATTCTCATACCTCCACTGGCAACTGTTGAGTTCTCTTTCCTCGAAGCCCAGTTTCCTTTAGAAGCCCTGGGGTACTTTTGCTTTGCCGGGAGCCCGTGGCAGCCTCAACACCCTGCACCCTCCCGACCAGGACTGCTCTTGCAGGTCTTCGCTGTTATTTCCACCTGCCACTGTCAGCTCCATGAGGGCTGGAAGCACATCAGCATGACTCACTCTTGCTGAGGGCAAGTGCAGGCACAGTAAAAGTTCGTGGAAGAAATACATAAGCCCATAAATTACATCGTGTATCAACTGGCAAAGTATGAATCTTCATTTATATGATCAGGCTTCACTTACTGTTCAGAATCTTTTAGCCCCAACTGGGCAAATCGCCCTAACATCCATTCACTCTGGGGGAAAGAATATGTCTTCACTGTGGGAACATCCTCTTTGCTTTCCCATTGTTGAGCCTATATCCCCACGTCTTCTTCTCCTTCCCCTTTTCTACCATTTTCCCCCTCGCCGATCACTCCCACCTACCACGTGCGTGCGCGCATGCGCACGCGCACACACGAATACTTACACACACTAGAGGAATTGATTGTAAATTACCTGAGGCTTGTGGTTAGAGTTATTTTATGTAACACTTAAATTTGTTGCCCAAGTTACTGTTAAATCTGGAGAGGGTGAGAGCAGAGGAAATCCTGTGGTCAGGGATCAGCAGTGCCCTTGTGAAGGTAGGCGAGGTCCTGTTCCAGCTGGCAGTTTGCTGAAGATGAGAGACACGGATCTTAAAATTGGCCTCCAGCGAGAACATGCAGGTCTAGGAATAAATCTGTTAGCTTCTCATGGTTAACAGGAAGGATGCCTTATTTTCCCAGCAGTAATGCATTTCCTTCACTGAGATAAGTGACCTCTATATTTCCTTGCAAACTAGATTATAACCCTCTAAAATGAAACACCTCGCCTGTGATATTTTTACGGAATGGAATGGACAGCTGTTGCATTTGCCTGTCCAGTATTCGTTACCTGTTCTTCTGATAACAGTCCACTGGGTTTACGATGGTGGGGGCTCCCTCCATGCCTGGATCCAGGCATAAGAATGTATCAGACATTCTTACCCTAGAAATTGAAACGTGAATAAAGAGTCAAAAAGTGAAAATTGCATCAATTCTTCTATCTCAGCCTCAGTGGCCTGATGGAAGTGTCCATCGATTGCCTCAAATCTGCGAAGCTGTTCCTGTACTAAAACCTAGTTCTTTTGTTTTCACTAAGGAGCTACTCCTTAACCTTTCAATTCTTTTCTTTCTTGTTATCTTTTAAATGTTCCGGCATGGGTTTCTGTAGCTTGCAATCAGGGAACCTAGCAGATGCAGATAAAGAAGGTGGATCTGAGATGTCTAGGAGACCAAAATCTGGGGTCAGACCCAGTTATAATGCTACAGCAGAAAAAAAAAACACATTCCTCTGACCCCACATTTCCTTTCCATTTTCACTTTGCTGTGAAGCCACAAATTCCCATCCCCACACCACCACCTCCGCAGCACTCAGTGACACGGGGCCCTTTCCAGTTTCTTCCTAGCAACCCCTAGTCTCTGAGAAGGCATGGGCCTCAGCCATCATTTATTTGGCCAATACTTTCTGAGCACCTACCGTACATCAGACACCGTTCCAGGCGCTTCAGCTGCATCAGCAAAGTCTCTGTTGCGATGAGGCTTTCGTTCTAGTGGTAGGAAACAGACAACCGTCAGGTGCACAAATAAATTAACAATCTAATTGAGCAGAGTGGTAAGTTCTATGAAGGGTGACATGATAGAGAAAGACTGGGTGGTCTGGGAGGACTTCCCCAAAGAGCAGACATTTGAGCTGAGATGGGGAACATTTGTGGGAACCAGAACTAATGTTATAAAAGAAGCAATTCCTTAGTGAGCACAGTATTTTTTTTAATCCCTCAAATATTTATTGAATATCCAGATAATCTATTCTGTGCCAGATAATACAGGAAAAGTAAAGGCATTTAGAAAATTAAATTTCAAATAAGGCTTTGTCTTATTCTGTGCCTTTTGGAGAACTCAGTAGTGTAATTTCTGATTCTGGAGAGAAGTAATATTCCCTTTCTATTTTCAGTTGTCGCAGTGGCAGATTGGAATGCTCATCTCAGTTTTCTGCTCTCACCTTGGAAAACATTCTGGTTCCATACCGCTTGCCATGTAACTCTACAGTACCTCTTGGTAAAGCTGGTGGGACATTTATCTCTGACGTGGGCTTTGCCTTGTCACTCACTTTGGCCAGTGGAAAGTGATCAGATGTGTTTTGAGCAGAGACTTGCATTGCGCCTGCGTGGCCGGGCTTGTCCTGGACTTTTGCCATCTGCCGTGCAATGAGCAAGTCCCAGTCAGCCATCGGTCCCAGAATGAGAGACAAGGGGAGCAACCCTGAAACCAACCCACAGCCTGAAACTGAACCGCCTGCCAATCCATAGACTCATGAGCAAAAAGTTAATATTTGTTGCTCTTATGATAAACCACTGAGATTTGGGGGGTGCTTGTTCCCCAGAATTAGCACATTAAAAATCTGACCAATATCGTCACAAATAAATACAACAGATGTAATAATCATGGCTCTCCTTGATGGAATTTCAAATGGGAAAAAAAAAATTCCACCTTCCATTAAAATTGGAATTAGAAGGCATTTCCTAGTTTTTCTTAAAGCACTGATAAACCTAAATTGAGGCACATTTCCTAAGGGAAATATGATTTAAGGTATGATACTAACAGACGTAAAACGATTTTGTAGTGAAAGCAGAAAAGTGAGTCATAGCCGACTGTGTCCCCGCCGACTGTGTCCCCTAGCCATGGGAAGTCTAGTCACCCCTGGATGATCCTGCATCCAGAAAATGAGGGCATCCCAGTAGGCGGTTGCTAAGATATCTTTCTGCTCTAACATCAGATTAGCCATTCTTATGTAGAAGCAGAAGAAAAAGTTATTACGTGGCAATGAAATACTTTACTGATGGACAGAAACAATTAAGAGCTTTTTAAAGGATAAAAAAATATTCTATGCAACTGATTTATTGTGCTTATTATAAATAGAATTTAAAAAGGAAATGGAAAGAAAAGGGACAGCCCAAACTGAACCACATCGAAAGGATACAACTCCTGCAGGCAGTACAGGTTATTCTGCAGAAAGACTTGTGAACATTTTTCTTTGATACAAAAATGAGTGGAAAGCAGAGTATCCTTTTTGTTTATAAGACTAACCTTTAAAAAAACAAAACCAAAAACCAAGTGACTAGAAAGTAAGCATGTTTTTCTTGTCTAACTTTGACAGAGCAAATGCTTGGGTCAAGAGTCCAGGATGCTATGGTATCCCGTTCAGTGTTCCTAGAACTGCTTTTGCAGAACTGATGTACTGGCTTTGCCGAGTCTCTCTCCAGGTTATTGTCCAACATCCTGGAGGCAAAGGCAGAGCTGCCGAAATGGTTATCCGCTGAAAGGCAAAGTTTATGGGAGACATTCCTTTTAAGTTGTCTTTTTTTCCTTCAACTGTTCTTTAAGAAAGATTATCTGTCTCAGTAAAATGTCTTCTCTTTTCCTGATCACTTTTTGCAGCCTGCTACAACAATCTGCTTTGTTCTATCAGGAGCCCTGTCATCTCTCGAGGCAGAGAGAATCATCAATGGTATCTCACTTCAACAAATTAGCCATAGTGTTTACACTGCAAGTCCTGGGGGCTGAGCTTTCTTGCATCTCAATAAATTCCCAGGATTCTAATGTTATTCCAAGTGAGAGGGTTTGGATCCAATGCAGTTTACTTCTTTTGCTTAGCATACATTATTCTTTGGGATTCTACTAAATGTGTTAAACTGAAATCTTGGAAATATGCACATACATGTGCACACACACACTCACTCACTCATCCATAGATGCAAATAAAGAAGGCAGTACAGTGCAGGGGAAAGAAACTGATCTGAAAGACAGGAAGTCTAGAGATTTGCATTTTCGTTCTAGCTCAGGTAAGCCAATCATTAATTGTGTGACTTCAGACAAATCACTTTTCTCTGCTGTAAAGTGAAGACTGAGGGACTGGACTAGATTATTCCTAATAGCTCTTCTAGCTCTCATATCCTATAACTTTACACTTCTAACTGGTAGCTTGGTTGGGATGACCTTTCTTACGGCTGGGCTGTACGAAACGAGCATGAGTCTGTCCAGTGATCAGCTTTCGTCTCAAGCAGGAGGAGTCCCCATGACGGCCACGGACTGAAAAGACAACCCTGAGAGACCCACAGACCCTTGCCTCCCTCCCCACACGTTACCAACACAGCTACAAAACATGCATGACGAGGCTGGTTCTGCTGAAGCCACCGCTGTATTTTATTGTACTGGTCCTCATGCAGAACCCAGAGGCCTCAGCCCTGGAAGGGCTCATGCTATAGGGCCAAGGCTACAGGAACAACGGAGAAAAACATCACAGTAGGGGGTGACCTAGATAACTTCCTGAGGTTCCTTTTAGGCCCAGGAGTCAATGTGTAGGAAGAATGAGCTTATTAATCAAAAAGTGCTGACCTGCTCAATGTCTAATCCCTGTCACTTGTGTAGCCCACATCCCAGCCTGACATGGCTTCCCTCTCTGAAGCTGCGTGGCTATATTTGCACACCAGTTTTTAGTTGATCTGTGTATTTTCTGGGTGACATGTCTCTTCCATGTGACAGTTCAAAATTACCCAGAGAAACACTTAAACCTCCCTATAGAGCAACCCAGCAACCCAGACCACACAAACCCTCTCTCTCCTCCGCTCACCCCTTCTCCCGGCTCCAGTCTTCTGTTAAATTCTCAGCCATCTCTCAAGGCCAAGCTCAAATCCTTCCTCCTCCGAGAAGCCTTTCTTGATCCCCTCCCCATCAGACTTAATCCCTCCATTCCTTTCACTCCCCAAGCACTTTGTACCTTTATTATTTTAGCACTTACTTACCTGAGTCTGTCTTATATTAAACTTGTTTTGTGCATTATGTCTTTCCCATGTCACTTTGAGCTGCTAGAGGGCAGAAATAAGTTTTATTTTTCTTTCTATTACCTCTGCAGCATCCAGTAAAATGCTTGGCACGCAGTAGGCACTTAAAACTGTCCCATGAAGTGTGAAAGTAGAAAATGAGTGAAGCAGGAAGCATGTCTTACCCATTCTTTTATTTTCGATAGCAAAATGCTTTTTACGTAGTGAATTCTTAAAGTTACTGGGTCACTTAGACATGCATTAAACAATGCAAAAATGCTAAGGTTGAAAACCAGTTAGCCTCATAATTTGTTCGTTTCGCATATTAAAAGAAATTCAGTCTATTTAATCGATGTACAGAATGAAATTTGCCAGTAATATTCATTTAGAAGTAAAAGCTCCTTTCATTCACCCAATGAATTTATTTATAACGAGTTTCTACACACTTTAATTTGGAAGGAATGCATACGTTTAATGAAACACTCAGAGTATTTAATTAATCATTTACAACAAGCCGTAAAAGACATGAAAAACCATCTTTCCATTTAAATGACTGTTTCCTAGTATAACAGACTTTTCCACTCCTACTCAAGGCAAACTACAGTAATTTCTGCTACAGTATTTCACATTCGTCAATTTTGCCATCTCCTCATTCTTTTTCTCCTTTTTTTTTTTTTGTGCTCAATCAATTAAACTAAATCAAAGGCTGTTAAAGTAATCTCGGGCTATCTCAGCCTCTCTCTGCTCCTTGCTCTGCTTCATCTAATGTCATAACATCCTTCACATACACTTCTTAAAATCCCCAAAAGTATTCTCTGAAGTTTGAGCTTTATAGACTTGTTAAAAAAAAATGCAATATCTTGCCTAATTGCCATTTCCCACACCTCTTTTCCACGCAGGGCTCTGCGAAGTTCACTAAAATCCAACCCTTTTTGGATAACTTGTGTTCCTTGGGCCAAGTTAAGCAAGAAATGTACTCACTGTCTATGGCAATTATGTTTTGTTCCTTCTCCATGATAACGCTATTATAAGATGGTGACGTTGGTTTGATATAATCAAATGCTTCACCTGCTGGTATGGAACAGTTCCATTGGACGGCAGTTCCATTTTGTCATAAACAAAAGACAGAGAAACATACATCAAATTTTTGACAACGACCATTCATTCAACAAACAGTTGTTCACTGTTTACTGAGCATCTGTTATGAGGTGGGTGCTGTTCTAAAAGGGTTTCTCATCTTGTCAGGGAGAGAGATTCTCATTAAACTTTTCAATACAGGGCAGACAATGCTGTAATAAAAGTATATGCTAGAGTTTCCCATGGGACAAAAGTTAAAATAATCTACAGAATGTGAGCAAGAACTGTACAAGGTTTTATGGAGAATCGACACAACAGTAAATCAGACCCTAAAAAGTGTGGAGTATAGAGGGGAAGGTATAGCTCAGTAGTAGTGTATGTGTTTAGCATGCATGAGGTCCTTGGTTCAATCCCCAGCACCTCTGTTAAAGAAATTAATTAATTAATTAATTAGTTTTTAAAAATCTAATTACCTCCCCCCAAAAAACACTAAAAAAAAAAGCAATTTATGGTATATGTTGGTATCGTTTCTTTAAAAATGTAGAGTACAATTTAAAAGTTAGAGTGTGTGCTTATATGTTACTGCTGTGGTAGAGAACCTGTTAGTATCAGAAGAAAGATAAAGCCACCTGTAGGGAGGTTGCTTTCAGACTGAGACATGAGAGCTGTCTTCAGGGAGGAGGTGGCATTCGAGATTAGCCTTGAAAGGGGAGGAGAATACAGATGCATAAGGATGGGAAAGAGAGAAGCTGGGAAAATGAGTCTTGCTGAGACTAGGACAGCGCCTGACAGAGTTCTGCCCCTCCCTTTTCTGAGCAGACACCAGATACTACCATGTTGCCTTTCGCTTTTAAAAGTGTTGCTGTGCTACCAAATAGGCATGACCTAACCAGTCCTCCTTCTCTGTCTTTGACCTTCTCATCTGCTGCTAATTGTGACCAGACTTTCCCTGGTCCTCCTCGGCAGCCAGGGAATAAATGCGGGATGGCATCACCTGAGAGACTTGCCCATTTTCTCCCGTAAGCTTATACCTCACACTGTCCATCACCATTCAACAGCAAATGCACCAGGCAGGAGCGCTGTTTTACAAAAGAATCTCTATGGTCTTGGCCTTCACTCGGTAAACAAGCAAAGAAAATCGCAGCACAATAGTGCAGAGCGTGGGCGTCAGCTGCTGTGCCCGTGATGGTGGCCACTCGCCACGTGAGGCTACTTAGGTATAACCTAGGTTTTTTCAAAAATTAAAAATTCAGTTTCTCAGCCACCCAAGCCACATTTCGAGTGTTCAACAGCCACATGG